GGGGGGGGGGGGTTGGGTGTGTGTTAGTGCGTGTGTGTGTACGCCACGATCATGTCGAACACCATAACCCGCGGCGGCTGTCATGTTCTGCACGATAATCCGCGGTGGTTGTCGTGTTCAACACGATTACCAGTGGCGGCAGTTGTGTTCAACACAATAACCAACGACATACCCAGTGAACATTCTGTGATCACCGCCGATGTGTTTCAGTGACAGTGTGTGCGTGTATGAGTGTATTGGTGCGTGTTTGTGTATGCGACGAAAGCGTTGAACCGCCGTTGTGTGTGTGTCTGACTGCGTTGGTGCGTGTGTGTGTACGCGACCTTCGTGTTGAACACGATAATCCGCGTCGGTTATCGTGTTCGACACAATAAATAGCGGCGGAGTGTGTGTGTGTGTGCGTGTGTGTGTGTGCGACGATCAAGTTGAACACGATAACCCGCGGCGGAGTGTGTTGAACCCGATAGCCCGGGCCGTTATCGTGTTGAACACGATAACCCACGGCTGTGTGTGAGTGCGTGTGTGTGTGTATGCGACGCCCGGGCGGTTATCGTGTTCACGACGTACCCAGTGAACATTCTGTGATCACCGCCGATGTGTTTCAGTGGCAGTGTGTGCGTGTATGAGTGTATTGGTGCGTGTTTGTGTATGCGACGACCGCGTTGAACCGCCGTTGTGTGTGTGTCTGACTGCGTTGGTGCGTGTGCGTACACTGCGTTCTCGTGTTCGACACGATAACCAGCGGCGGAGTGTGCGTGTGTGTGTGTGCGACGATTGTGTTGAACACAATAACCCGCGCACGGAGTATGTTGAACCCGATAGCCCGGGCCGTTATCGTGTTGAACACGATAACCCACAACTGTGTGTGAGTGTGTGTGTGTGTATGTGACGCCCGGGCGGTTATCGTGTTCAACACGATAACCGACGACAGTGTGTGTGTCTGAGTGTGTTGCTGCTTCCTGATTGCTCACCCTGTTCTTTCTCGTTCTTCTACCCTGTTGGTACTAGCATATTGCAGCTTGACATTTACAGCTCCGTCGTGCATTATCCATGATGGGTTCTTCAGAGAGACAAGGCAAACGCTCACGACGCCAAAGCAGTGTGGGTGTCGACAACTCGCCTAAAAAGTCTAAGGGAACCCCTGTTGCTGGGGTTGACAAAGCCGGGACGCTGGGATCTAGGGGGACTGCCTAGTGCCGACCGTCGAGCTCCGCTATGCAGACCCCTACGCAGCACAATACGCCTCATTCGGGCGACCCGTCTGGTCGCCGCAGTGCTGGCGAGTAGACCGTCAGGACGGTGGGGAGTGGTCGAGGGTCCAGTGGTGTTGGTCAAGGGCATGTGTAGCGGGTTACATCTCGTCTGGGTCCGTCGAGTGGTCAAGGCAGGGGTGACGAACAGCATGTCCGGACTGTGGGAAGCGGTCAAGGGTCTGGTGGCCGTGGTCAATGGTCTGGTGGTGGTCCGAGCGGTCGAGGGTCTGGTGGTGGTCAGCGGACCCGCACACAAGATACAGTGCGGCAGGCAGGATCAGGGGAGAGGTATGTGCATGGACAGCCAGATAAAGTTCCCGTCATAGACTACAAAGATAAATTCTGGATGTTGGACTGGGTGAGCGAGGCGGGGCAGGCTGGAAGTGGTTTGTTATTGTACGTGTTGTTGAGAGAAGATATTAGTCCGATAGGTGGTATTCGATCTTGGGCAGGGAGGGATGATCAATTCGCCACTTTCGAGTTAACCATGCAACTCAACGGCAAAGGCCACAGAGTTTTAGGGACGAACCATGTTTTTCTCACGTGGAGAAACCACAAGGGATATGGTAAGTCACTTATGGATGTTTTCAATCCTGATCCGGGTATGGAAATCCTGTTACCTGACCTCCGCCAAGTTCTCGTGTTCTTCGACACGAATTCGGTGGAGGGCCATCGTCCGGTGACCCACAAAGATGACACTATTACGGAACCGAAATGTGTTATGTCATCGGCGCATCCAACTGTGGGTGCCATTACGATTCGGCAGCCAGCAGTGACCACGCCCGCTGTCCGGGAAGAGAGACAACACGCTCTCGTATCCACGCCGGTGGTCCCATGAGCGGAACAAATCGCTGCCAAGGGCCGGGCTCATGGTCAGGCTCCGCCGCAAGAGACACAACACGCTCTCGTATCCACGCCGGTAGTCCCTCGAGCGGGACAAATCGCTGCCAAGGGCCCGACTCAGGCTCAGGCTGCGCCACCGGCTCCCAAGAAATTCCGTTCGGTTGGAGTGAAAGAGCCACTGTCCATGTTACATGACATTGGTGTTGTGCACCGTGGTGTGCAGCCTTTGTATTTCGGTGATTCAGGAGAGGGGAGCAGTGGCGAAGGTTCATAGAGGGAGGAGGAAGAGGAAGAGGAAGGTTCTCAAGAGGGGAACGATAGTGAGAATACATTTACTCATCGAGAGCGTCATGGATGGGGACAGATGTTGAATCCAGTGCAGCACGACGTGGGCGGAAGGGACAGTCCTGGTGAGGAGCACTACGAAGATTTGGAGGAACACGATGAGGGGTGGTATGGGGACGAGCCGCAGAAGGAAACCGGTGAGGGATCTATGCAGGAGAGGAGAAAGCAGGAAAGAAGAAGAAGTCGAGAAGAGGGGAGAAGAGAAGAGATAACACCTTCCTTGACCCCCGCGGCGGTTAGTGAGAAGAAGAGGAAAGCGAGGCAAGATAGGAAAAAAAACATACACCAAAAGAGAGGCAAGAGACAAGTGCTGTCAATGCCAATGGACGAGGCAGTCCAACGTGAACGTGACGCTGCAGCTGCTGAGAGACAAAAGCCGGAACGGAGAAAGAAAGCAGCAAAGGGTGGTACGATGGCGAAGACGATGATTTTTCCTCCCTATGAACAACCGCAGTCCGGCGACGAGGCGAAAGGCAAGACAGCGACCAGGCCGTCTACGTTGCAACTGCCATCAACTGAGCCTGTGACGTCGCATCTCGGGAAAGGGTACTTTCTGGGCTTCGATGCTGACGGTACCCAGAAGAGCACGACGCAGTTCATCACGGTCGATCTCGAACAGATTTTGGATCTTCCTGATGACAAATATAGGTATAATCAAAGATTTCTGGACGAGAATCTTGTCGACGATATTTACCAAGTGATGGTCACATCAGGCGAAGCGACTATTCGTGAAAGAAAAACAGGCGGCGTGGGCTTGGCTACATGTCCGCTGTACGAGAAACCAGTGTTGTTGCTAGTTGCGCTCCATGACCAGCTGCATACAGATCCGTCGGGTAAAGTTGTGCGCAACGCGAGTCACTCCTGATGAGTTCGACGAGACATCACTCGAACAATACTTCTGGTACCCAGTCAGTGGTCAACACAACATAGCAGCAGCAAGCAGATGTTTCCGCGAAAATCAGGCCATGGCGAATGAATTGCGGCTGGATACATGGACAGCCAGACCTGTATACTATCTCGATCAGTTCATGGACCATTATAGGACGTTGAGCACATTCCAGAACGCAAAGGACAAGTGGAACACTCCACCTCATCAAAGCTTTGTGGTTCGGGCCATCAGGAAGTCGTGGAACGCATCCGCTTGTCCTGAAGCGAAAGGCGGGCAGGGGGCTGAAGAGAAAAATGCGGCTTATATAAATTTTGCAGGGGAGGCACTCAGGGCGATCGGCATTCAGACTTACGTTGCTATGTCAATCTAACAGCCGTGAAGTGCGGCATGGTCCGACGCCCTTGGTCCTTACATGACCTTGGCTAGGGCATCGACCTATGTGTACGATGCTGTGATGAACGTTTACGCGGCTTGGGAACGCGGCCATCTGCCGAGAAGAGACGTTGTGAAGCCTGCCACCAAACTGGGTGAAGCAGGGAAAGCTCAGAAGCCAGGTCCCGGTTACGAGTTGAAGGGTGGATCCAGAATTCCACTGCATTGGATACAGGGTACAAAAGGCCGAGGTTACCTCGTTCCGGTCCATGATCCCTATATTAGATCATGGAAATCACTCTCCAATTTGGGGAGGCGTGAGCGGCTGCAGCTCTTGCACGATGTGTTGGGAGGTGAGGTTATATTGACTCCTAAACAAAGCAAAGCTGCAAAAGATGCTGGGCTGCATTCGATGGAATCATATGGTGAAGTTGTGAAGATGGAGAGAGCAATGTTGAGAATGTTCCACTACTTCGTCTTCATTTTAGATGCAGCGAAGAAGCCATCTGATTGGCGAGAACCTTTCTTCATGGACCTCGCGGAAGTATTCGAGAAATATCGCGATCACGGCCTTACCTACGAGAGATGGGTTGATCAGAGGCAACATTTCAAGGATATGCAATGGATAAAATCATTTCCTCCAATGCTGGGCGGCGATGATGAGAAAGGGGAGCGAGGTTTTGAGAAGACCAAATATGTGGCCAAGTGGACCGAGGCGGTTTTTGAGGCACTCTGGAGGTTTATGGAAACGGTGGGAGGGGAGTATTGGACATTGGTATGCTTCATTCCCCGGTCGTGCGAGATGACGTTTTTGAGGCGGGTCGTGCAATGGGATATTCACATGTCCATCGCCAAGTGGACTCGGCAACAACAACAGAAGGTTCGGCATCCCTATAAAGTTGCAAATTTGCCAATGGAGGACACAAACAGGATGGTGGTCATTATATACTCCAATGATGGGGACTATCATCGCAACACAATTCTTTTGTTTGAAGATATCCAACTAGCACAACCATCTTCTAGTTCACAAGCAATTGACACTTTGACACTTGCGAGGCGGGAGCGAAAACCGAAGTTGCTGACGGACGTAGCAGAGAAAAAATTTCAGCCAACGAAGCATAAAAGTGCGGGTATGGAGCCGAAAGAGAAAGTCATGTATGAAGGAATACGAACGCAATGGTCGAGATGCTGGAGCATTTCTGTCCAGCAGATAAAGCTGTAATGTTTCTGGGGAAGGGTCATGCGGCTTTGGTGTGGGAGCTATTGAAAAGCCATCGCCATTGCATTGTCTTAGAAGGAGAGGACATGAAGTTTGACTTCCTTGTGCAATTTGTGAACACGATGGTCGACACTCGAGAGTATCAAGCAAAATTCGTGAAGCCACCACCTCGCCATGACGAAGCTCGTGATTTCGTGCACAAGGTCGGTAAAAATATGACAAATATCTGGGAGTTCCTTTTTGAGATGTCGTCGGAAAACAGGGGAGACCGTACATATAATACTCGCAGGCGGATAGTTGAGGCCCTTCTACGAGGTTATCACAAAGTTTCTTCCGACAAAGAAATTGTGTTCCTCGACAGGTTGGAAGTCATGTACTTTGATGCACAAATCGGTGCTTTCACGGTTGCTGCCTACGCGACTTGCTTTCCAGAGAGGGAACACTTGAATGCTGATGACTCTGAAGAGGAAAGTGTCGATGGTACTTTGCAAGCGGGTCTGGCAAGTGAAAGGCAAAAGGTCACTCCCTCTTCTTCTCAGAAGATGGTTACAGCAGGGACGTCATCAAGGACTCCTTCAATTGGTACTTCTGGTGTCGTGCCTGCCGGTGGGATGACTCTTCCAGTAGGTACACCTCCTGCCGGCACCGCTCATTTGGCAGCAGGAATGTCATCATCTGCGGGAATGGTGTCCGATCCAGCAGCGGTCTTCAGAGTTTTGTTCGGCGCTGATGCCTCTCCCGAGTTAATATCAAGTTTCCAAGGATTAGCACAAATCCCTGCTTTGTTGCAACAACTTCTTTCTCAAACCACACAAGCAGCACATGCGAAGGAGTTGGAGTACGAGTATGAGATCGGGAATACGATCCCTGCGGACGTCGCCCAATTGGTGGGGCCTATCGTTTGTCGAGATGACCATACGAGGATGGAAGCTGATAAGTGGGGTCACGACGTCGTGTGGCATCCAAGACATTATCAACCTGCATTGGCGAAAGGAAAATGGGTGATGGCAATCAAAGAAGATGGGCAGTGGCAATTTTGCTCCCACCGGGGTATGGCACAATCACGATTTTATGCACATGAAGAAAATCAGATTAGGCAGCGGCTTGCTCGACTCAATCCAAATGTTTCTCCATCGAGAGTGGACATAAGGACGAACGAGGTTTTTCAGGAGCTCAAGGCATTGCGAAGACTTGAGTACTTGGAAGAATTTTATGACAGACAAACAAGCCCGGCATTTGGATATAACTGGCGCATTGATGATGCCGACGAGACCGGTGGGAAAAGGGGACAAGGCCCTAGCGGTGGAGCAAGTGGAGAGGGAGGTGAACACCCAAGTGGTGACGAGGGCGGAGGTGACGAGGGACGATGTGATAAGGGAGGGAGTGGTGAGGGTGAAGGAACATCAGAAGCGCCTAGGTATAGTCATCTAACAACAGGCACATCAGAAGGGCAAGCCCATCGTCACCATGAGGGAAGCGCCAGTGGTGTAGGAGGGCACATCGACATTCGTGGTTTGCCGCAGGTCACGCTGTCTACTGCAGTGGAACAGGTTGACGAAGAATGTGAAGGTGGGCAAAGTGTGACCACAACACTCACAGGTATCACTGTGACAGATAATGAATGGTGTGATGGCAGTGGCGCAAGTGTCTTCCCCGTTGGCGAGAAGGGCGATATTGGTAGCCCACAAGGCCATATGTGGATGTCTATGGATATTTTGCCATATGGGTTGGGAAGCCAAGGGCGGCTGAGGGCATTATTGGATGAAACTATGTATCTGGCGGAAACGGAACAGCAACTCGAGGCTCACACTCCACTTGATTAAGAAACACTCAGAGGCGACTTAGAAATTCCTGCAGAATTTCAAAGTCCGATATCAGAGGAGAAGGCACAACGAGGGTATCTGGAGGCGGGTACTGTAACAGGCTACCAGGAAGCTATGCTTGCAGAGGAGATGGAACCGCGCGGCAAGCCTAACAGTCCATTTGATGAAGACATCCCTGGCAGCGACTTCGATACTGGTACCGGAGGGTCTCAGGATCCGCCTATTATATTTGATACTGCTGGGAAGAATGACACTCTTGAGGGGCTTATGACGAAAGAAGCAATTCAAGAGACGGACATCGAAAGAGGATGAATGACATATTGTACTGACTACTCCAGAGCAACAGACGCCTGTGAAGGAAGGACGAGAAAGTACACTTCGAACTCCTGTGCAGCAGTCCAGCCCATCTGTCAAAGTGATAAATATCGAGGAATCCTTTCTCACATCAAGACAGTTCGGAAATGCAAAAGAAGACG